CATAAATATAGAAAATATGCAACTAAAGTAAATGTTTTGGAATTCTAGAAAGGTAGTTAAAACTCAACAAGGAGAAGCGTCCCGTACGTTGGGTTAGTTAGAACACTCGGGTGTAAAAGGGATGGTGGTATGGGCTTTCGATATCATGAGGATTTTATTCCGGCTATGCTTGCTAAGCACGAGTGAGTCGGTGATCTGCTCGAACGGGTCCTCGTTGTTCCAGCAGATTTTTAAGGCTCGTTATCGTCTCTATTCATCTTTCTTTGTAGGAAGTTTCGGTATATGCGTATGAAAGAAGAAGAAGATAGACAAAAAATGAAAGGAAAATCACTCTTTTCATTACTGCAGAGACATGTTTATAATGATACAAAAAGTAAGTCAATACCAAATTTTCATAATTTAAGGAAATTTGTTCCCTTGTCTAAAGCTGAAATTAAGTTCCACCACAAGTCATTCAAACTTTAGTACATTCATTAATTGTATTACAAAATATTCAAAAACAAAAGGAACAAAATCCGGTGCATGGCTTTGTATCAATACGTGATCATGAACTACAAGCTTCATCACTCCTCCTTGATGCAAGAGCTATGTATAACACCAAGCTTGCCTCTAAGTTCTTCAAATCTGTTCTTCCGTAGACCCTTGGTGAAAATATCAGCGACTTGTTCCTCTCCCGAATAATGCAACATCACAACTTCACCTTCCTTATATTCTTCTCTAATAAGCATGATATTTGATTTTAATGTGCTTAGTTTTTCCATGAAAAACGAGATTTTTAACCATTGCAACAGCGAGACTTATTATCACACAAAATCATTATAGCAGCTTTTTGCTTAAACTTCAAATCACTCATCATTTTTCTCAACCATAATGCTTGATTAACGAGCAGCAGATGCAGCTATATACTCTGCCTCGACGATAGATCGAGCAACGGAACCTTGCTTCCTTGAACTCCAACATATAACACCCGATCTAAGTGTAAAACAATAGCCCGAGGTGCTTTTTGAATCTTCAAGTGCTCCAGCCCAATCACTATCGGTGAATCTAAGTAATTTCAAGGTCGAACTCCTCTTATACAACACACCATATGAAATTGTACCCTAAATATACCTCGGGACCCTTTTGGCTACTTTGAGATGATTTTCGGTTGGCATGTGCATATATCTTGATAGAATGCTAGTTGCATACATTATATCCGGTCTTGTGATTGACAAATACAGCAATGAGCCAACAAGACTCCCGAAGATTGAAGGATCAACGGATGCTCGAACCATCATTTGTTTGTAACTTCAATCCTTGAACTCGTTAGAGTGTTGACGACTTTACAACCAATTAGAGAAAACTTCTTCAATAATTATGTGGCATATTTCCTTTGAGAAATAAAAGTGCCTATTGAAACTTGAGACAACTGCCATTCCCGTAAAATAACACATCCGCCCTAAATCATTCATCTCAAACATGCCCTCCATTTGCTTTCTAAACTCTTTCACGAGTTTGAATTGTTTCCAAAGATAAGGATATCATCAACATAAATTGAAACAATTAGAATTTCAGAATACACTTGTTTTACATACAGTGTAGCTTCATTGATGCTCCTTTCAAATCCCAAGTCAAGCAAGTAGCCATCAATCTTTGCATACCAAGCTCTAAGGGCTTGTTCTAAACCATATAGTGCCTTTTTCAGCAAATAAACTTTATCAGCAGCATTTTTAATAACAAAACCCTCGGGTTGCTCAATGTAAATTTTCTCCTCAAGAACACCATTGAGAAATGCTGATTTAACATCAAGTTGATAGACTCTCCGACCTTCATGAGCGACGAAGGGCAAGCAACAATCCGATTGTATCGAATCTAGCTACAGGAGAAAAGATTTCGGTGAAGTCAATACCTTGCTTGTTGAGAGTAGCCTTTCACAACTAATCTAGCCTTGTATTTGCTGATTGAGCCATCCGGATTCACCTTCACTTTGAACACCTACTTTGTACCAATTACTTGTTGATTTTCCGGTCCGTCAACAAGTAACCGGGTGTCATTTTTAACAATCATATTGAATTCTTCCTCTATGGTCGCTTTCCATTTTGGAGATTGCAAAGCTTGATCAATCGATGCGAGTTCAAATATAGCTACACTACATCCGTTATAGATATCTTGTAGAGTTTTGGTGCCTCTCACTCGTATGATGCTCATCATCGGAATCCTCCTCCTCAAAAGTCTCATTATGAAGCTAGGGTGCATTTTCGGCATTAATGTTTTGATTTGAGGACTCTCCAATCATTTTCTCCCAATTCCGGACACCATTTTCATCGAATTTTATACTCCTGCTCATATAAACCTTCTCGGTTATGGGATTTAAAATTCGATATCCTTTTGAAACGATGCTTATAACCAACAAAAACACCAACTTCGACCCTTTGATCAAGCTTGTCTCTCTTTGCATCGGGAACATAAGCATAACAAGTGCTTCTAAAAACCTTCAAATGAGCCACCGATGGTTTGACACCTATCCAAGCTTCATAAGGTGTTTTACCATCAATAGCTTTAGTTGGAAGTCTATTTTGAAGATAGACGAGCAGTGTTTACAGCCTCCGCCCACAACTTCTTTGGTAAACCTTTTTCAAACAACAAGCACCTTGCCATGTTCATGATTAATCTGTTCTTCCTTTCACTTACACCATTTTGCTGAGGTGTATAAGTGATCGTGAGTTGATGATGAATACCGCCTTTTGAAGAAATGATTGAAATTGAGAAGAGACATATTCGATGCCATTGTCGGGCCTCGAGGTCTTGATGACATGAGCACTTTGTTTTTCTACGACAACCTTGAATCTTTGAAACATAGGAAACACTTCGATTTGTTTTTGAGAAAATAGACCCAGCAATATCTTGAAAAGTCATCAATAAATAAAAGAAAATATTTGCTGCCATTGTAAGAAGATATGCTCATGGGTCCACATAAATCCGTATGAACCAGTTGGAGCTTTTCGGTTGCTCTCCAAGCTTGGTTTACGGGAAATGGAGTTTTGCTCAACTTACCAAGTTGACGAGTACCACATACATTTGAAATCCCGATCCACGACAGGTAAATCATCCACCATTTTACTCTTTTCAAGCAACTTCGAGCATCATAATTTATGTGACCCAACCTCTTGTGCCACAAACAAGAGTTAAATTCAATACTAATAAAAGCTTCAACTTCATCATGTTTCCACTCAATATTAAAGCTTCGTTGTGCATTTTAATAGATAGAAGCTTTATACCGAAAGGATCAATAATTTCACAGAATTTATTCTTGAATTTAATTGAGTAATTCTTATCTAGAAGCCGACCAACACTTAATAAATTATGTTGAATATCGAGCACAAACAGAACATCGGAGATAAGCTTTGTACTCGATAAAGTTTGCACGGACACAACACCTTTTCCTTTGACATCCACTAGTCTCCCATCACCAAGCCTTACTTTGGAAGAATATGCTCTGTCCAAAGTTTTAAAATTTTCCAAATTTGTCGACATATGATGAGCACGACCACCGTCGATCATCCAAGCATTAGTGTTTTGAGTTGCAACTAAACATTCAAGCACCAACAACAAAAAGTTTCTCCTCCCGACCTTCGAGTCCTTCGATGACTTGTGCGAGTCGAGCTTGATTTTGTTGACCACCATTTCCTGGACAAACTCTTTCAACATGTCCAAACAACTTACATGCTTTGCATTGAACCCCAGTGTCCGTACCGGTAATAATTTTCGGTGTGGTTTGTCTTCTTGCAATGAAGGCAAGGTGGATACTTGCCTCTCATGTTCCTTCTCATGTTGCTTTGATTAAATTTTTTGTCTTTACCTCTCTTTGAATAAGGGCCTCTCTTTGCATCATTAGTCCGCATTTTTGCTCTTTAGGATGCAAAAAGCGATTTCGATTGAGCCTTCTTCTTCTCTAAATCCTTTTCTTTGCTCAACGACTTTTAGAGCACTTACAAGCTCTGCGGGAGAAAGCCGAGATAAATCCCGAGCATCTTCAAGTGAAGAGATTTTTGCCCCAAATCTTTCCGGAAGAGTTACCATTACCTTCTCTACAACTCTTCTTTCCGGTAAGTCCTCACCTAACGACCTTACTTGATTAACAATTTTCATAACTCTATCAATGTACTCCTTCACATTCTCGGTCTCTTTCATCTCGAGAAATTCAAATTCCTTTCTTAAATTAAAGATCTACATCCGTTTTTTCTTTTCACTTCCTTGAAATTCTAACTTCGACTTGTCCCGGACTTCTTTTCATTGTCTTGCATGCCATAATCCTTATGAAAATAGTCTCATTTACTTGCTGAATGAAGACTACTCAAGGCTCTAAATTTTCTAGAGACCTTTTCTTCATACATTCTAAGTCGATTCAAAGTTGGATTGTACGGCAATTTAGTTTCAAAGTCCGATTCAACGACTTCCCACAGTAGTGAGACCCCTAAGATATGCTTCCATCTTCACGGACCACACATGATAATTTTCTCCAGTGAAGATTGGAGGAGAAAGAGCGAAATACTACTCGCTTGTAGCCATCATAAAAATCACTCAAATCTGTCAAGTGTTTATGGTTTTTTAAGTGAGGTTTTCTTACTTGTTTTCTCTCACACAAAGTCCCACAAAGATCATTTGTAGCTCGATACCGGATGTAGGAAGTTTACGGTATATGCGTATGAAAGAAGAAGAAGATAGACAAAAAATGAAAGGGAACTCACTCTTTTCATTACTGCAGAGACATGTTTATAATGATACAAAAAGTAAGTCAATACCAAATTTTCATAATTTAAGGAAATTTGTTCCCTTGTCTAAAGCTGAAATTAAGTTCCACCACAAGTCATTCAAACTTCAGTACATTCATTAATTGTATTACAAAATATTCAAAAACAAAAGAAACAAAATCTGGTGCAAGATCTGGTGCATGGCTTTGTATCAGTACGTGATCATGAACTACAAGCTTCATCATTCTTGGATGCTAAACCTGGTTCAAATCAATCATAGGCTGGCGTAGTATTCTTTTGGGAAGGAAAATTCTCTTGTAGGATCTTAATTAGATGGAGAGTTCGTTTTTGCCAGTCTGTCCAGTGTAAACAAGATCCTTGGATCCCATCATCGTTTCCTTTCCTAGCCTCGGTAAAAGACACAGCTCTTTGAAGAAATTGTGAGGGTGTCTGTCACAGCCAATATAGAACGTGATGGAGATGTATGAAGTTGATATTATTAATGTTGTCTGTACTAATGTTAATGCAAAAGTTATAATGACTTTACTCCTTGCTAGGTTTGATATTCTTGACAAGCTTATATGGCACTATAATAGGGATGGAAGATACTCTGTTAAATCATGATACTTCGGAGCTCAACAATTGTGTCTCTAAGGTCGCTGTGCAGGAGTTCATGGTCCTCAAGGCCCCCAGGTCACTTCTGATAAATTTTGGCGTGAAATCTGGAAGCTGAAGGTCCCAAACAAGCTGAAGATTTCTATGTGGAGTGCTTGTAAGGATAGCTTGTTTTGTTGGTTCGCATCTGCATAAAAGAATTGATTGTTAATCGTTGTGGTCGTGCCTGTGGTGTTTCTCAAGAGAGTGAGCTTCACTTATTTTTTTCAATTTCATCAAGCACGACAAGTCTGGTTTTAGTTCACCTTCCACCTTCGGTCAGATGCTATTTTATGGGTAATAAATTTGCAGGTTCGTGTAAAACATCTCGCAAATCATCATTCAGCATGGTAGCAATGAATATAGAGTGGAGTTAGCATGTTTTATTTGTTGGCAAATCTGGAAAAGCAGGAATGCCTTAGTTTCCCGATGAAACCAGTGGACAGCTGCAGATATTGTGCGATTAGCAAAAGATCGGTATGATGACTTTTGCGTGCTTCTACTAAACTGCAAACAGACAAGAGGGTAGTTCTAGAGAGTTGCAGACTGATTCAAGTTGGGAGCCCCGGTGAGCGGATTTTATTAAGTTAAATGGGATCGTGCCTTTAAATTGTCAGTTTCGTCTGGTAGCGTTGGGGTACTCGGCAAGAATTCTTTGGGTGATCTGGCGTGTGATAGAGGGTTCTGCTGTTTTATGGGCTGGATCCACAAACATATGAAGCGTTGGCTATGCGGGAAGCTGTCCAACTTGGCTTACAACGGGGCTTTTCCAAGATTATTATTGAAGGGGAGCTGAAGCTCTCTTTTATGCTGTGAAGAAATCAAATGATTTTAATAGCAGTCAGCCTCATTTAATTTTACAGGACACTGTACGTTTGGCTAGATCTTTTGAGGTCTGTAACTTTAGATTTGTCAATTGTACTGTAATTGGGCTGCCCATGAAGTGGCAGCTATAGCCCTCCGGTATCAGATATGCCCGAATAATCAGGATGTACCCTTAGGAATTCTACAGCGAGCACATTTGTGAGCTTCCTTTGGTTTATAATATTACCATCTGTGACCAAAAAATAGAAAAAAACCTCCCTTTCTAAATTCTCTAACCCATCATTAAGAATGTGGCTGAGTTTGCCAAGTTTGAGTAAATCTGGATTAAAATTTAGAGACCATATGGTTTTCGGTCCTCAAAATTTATTCAAGGCACACCATCGGTCGCAGGAGGGCTTGAAGCATTTGTATGTTTCCACTGTCACCAAATTACATCATAGCAAGAGGTTCAACGAGCCCATATTCTTCAAACCAGCTTGTCAGCTGGTACGGCTGAGGGGTAGTGGAACCGCTGGCACCACCCAAACTATTTCTGACTTCTCGAAATGGAATGATACGGAAAGAAGTTTTATTCAATCAAATTGATAACCATCCATAGACAGTCGTTTATTCGAAGGCATTGCCTGTAGATTTTCGACCTGTCGAGGGAGCCGTGCCTCATATAGAAATGACATGTAAGGAAACACTGAAAACAAAACGTCAGACTCAACCAACTGACATGCCATCAGGAGCTCTTAGCAAGAGGAAACAACAGGGACATGAAAATAGCCACACACACACACACACACCAAAATAAAAAATAAAAAATAAAAAAAAATCTATAAACTGGATCATAAATCAAGAGCAACAAAATCAATCAATCCACGTCCAAACCATCCTACAAGGACCAAAGACATTCAATAATATATATAAATTTCATAACAGAAATATAGGGCCCATTTACCAGAATCTGAAATCTCTACATCAATAAAAATAAAGAGCAGTTTGCTGAACATTTTGAAATATAAAATAAGAACATGTAGCCTGTCCCTCATTTTAGATTAAATCATGGCAAGCCGCAAGTGAAAAACTCATTAGGGGTGAATTAACAAACATACCCCAACAAAACTTCAATCTCAAAAGTATTTATTCTTGTCAAATAATGTTCAATTGTAGGTGTTGCAGAAAACTCATCCAATTGAATGCCATGTTTATACATCCAAAAGCAGCCTGCGAGGATCCTCCACGACATCTTTAATTCGGCGCAAGAAGAAAACTGCCTCTCTTCCATCGATTAGCCTATGGTCGTATGTCAGCGCAATGTACATCATTGGCCTTGGAACAACATTGCCTCCAACAACCATTGGACGAGCCACTATCGAGTGCATGCCCAAAATAGCCGACTGTCAAACAATATTGGTTAGGTTCTTTACCCGTAAAGAACTCTGAGAATACAAATATTAATTGAGCACAGCAGTCACTTATCCAAGAAAACGTGTTACTGTCCATAGCAGCACAATCAGAACCAGACCAGCAGTGACCAAGCAAGCAACCCTGATCACTGAGTCACTGATTCAGGCAGGCAGCTAGGTTTTCTTTGTCTAATACTCAAATCATTACCAGGTTGGATTCATAAAGAGTATATATTTTTAAAATTCCACATATTCTTTGTTCCAGCCAACTCACATTTTGTCTAAATCAGAAAAGAGGAGTGAATGAAAGCATATGGAGGTTTTCACAGTAGAATGAAACCTGAGGGGGTTGATAATGGGTGTACTTAAAAGGCTTCCATAAACTCCTCCATTAGATATTGTAAATGAACCTCCAGCCATCTCATCAATTGAAATAGTTCCATCATTTGCCTTCTTTGCAAGGGTGTTGATTTCCTTCTCTATCTCAGCAAAGTTCATCGTGTCAGCATTACGGATAACTGGAACAACAAGGCCCTGGAAGAAACATGATAATTAAAATAAGTAGTCACAAAGATAAATTAAAAAAGAAAAAGAAAAAAATCGCGCAATCATTTGCTATCCTGTATGATTAAATGAAGCTTCAACAAACAGAGGTGGAAAGAAAGTCCTAGGTCAGGGGTGTTACAGAGTTGGTTTGACCTAGTAACTTCATTTAGGAGACCGAATAAGTACATGCAAGTTGGGCTTCGGTAACAAGTCAGTAAGTTTCAGTAAGTTTGATTGACCTGAATTGTTATTCAGCAAGTGTGATTAATGTGCGCATGCCATCTTTATTGATATGTGTATGCTATCATTATTTGATTGAATTTTTATGAATGTAAATGGTTATGGCCAAAACATGTACGTGTTTGAATGTTAATGTGACAACAACCTCCGACGATAAGCAAGGGCAATCCTGTCATTTTTTACACCAGAGCAATTCTGTCATTTTCCAAAAACAAGGGTATTTTTGCAGTGCACCATTTTTCTCCTATTTATTCAATCATGGAATTCCAAATGGAAAAATCAACCAAATGAATATTGAGGAATAGCGCACCGAGGAAAAAAGACTTCAATACAATAACAATGTTTGTCCTAGATATTTGAAACGTACAGTTGGTCAAAGAGTAAACATGACACAAGCTTCATTTAGATGGCACCTCCAGAGCAGAGAAAACATGCATCAACAATGGCCAATCAAAGCAATAACTGGTGCCCTTGTGGCATTTTATGTCTCATAGTCCTCAACAACTTACGTGCAGTTTACTGTGGAGATGGCAGGTAGGATGCCACAAGTCAAGTATATATGCCAATGAGGCATTGGTCTAGTTAAGGACTCCAGGCTGAGGCTATGGGAGTTGGGAGCACAAAGTTTCAAATCCTCCTGCCCCCAAATATCAAAAACAGAACTCAAATATGCCATCTCTTCACTAACAAAAACAATCCTTACACGGAATAGCCAATATGAAGCAGGAGATTTCTCTAGGATTTATTTTATTAAATTTCTGATATTAAAGTTACATAATTAATCCAGGGTCATGTGACTAGCATGTGACTTTTTAAAGTATTTCCTTTATAGGCTTTAGTAGTTTTACTTGGGGACTAAGACTCCTCGCTAACAAAAACAATCCTTACACTGAATAGCCAATATGAAGCGGGAGATTTCTCTAGGATTTATTTTATTGCATTTATGATATTAGGGTTACTTAATTAATCTAGGGTCGTGTGACTAGCATGTGACTTTTTAAAGTATTTCCTTTATACCCTAAGTAGTTTTCCAGGGGACTAAGACTAGGAATCCTTTTCTACAAGGATACAGGGCTTAAACTAAAATAAATACTTTTGTAGCAGGTTATTGAATTTTATCAATCTATTCAGATCCTAGAGGTTTCTTATGAACCCTAAATTCTATTATCTTGTTCCAACTTCAATTTTATCTTAATTTTGGCCACTATTCTGCTGTGATTGATGTTTCTAGTGTTTTCCCCTAACCACACTGCATCAAATTTGTATCAAAGCGAAAAGATCCTCAAGATTGTGTTGGGGTTCAATCCTTTGACCATGGTTGGACATGCTATAGGTTGTAGGTGGAGAAATCAAGATCGGCAAGTGATTTTGGTTGAGATAAGTTGTACAATTGAACGTTTGTCGCACACTATTGATGCTGTGCAACAAAAGGAACTCGTGGGAGCGCGAATTGAGATTCTAGAAGGTGACTGTGACCCTTTAGACATACCAGAAGGTGGTCGTAAGGATGAGACTCATTCCATGATGCTGGAGCCATAAATCACAAGGTGCGAGGTGGATTGGAAGAGAGGAACAACATTGCACTTCAGCAGAGGAAGATAGTTGAAGAGCAGCAAGCACAAAGCACTCTAATTGTGCAGAAAGAAGTAGTTATGGGTTGGAATTCTTTGTCGATCTATAATGAAATAGGGATTTGGATTCTCCACCAATCTATGATGTTTATCTTGATGATGATTATGATGTTAGTTATGACAAAAACAATGACAGTAATGATAGTTACGTTGTCATCAACAGTGACCTCATTGAAAAAGGGATAATTACATTTTCAGTACATCAACTTTAGACCTTTTTCTCAATTGAGTATATCAACTTTTATTTTTTTCGTTTTAGTGTATCAATTTTTTCAAAATTTTCAATCAAGTTTTTCCATCCATATTTCCATCAATTAATGACGTGGCAGTTAACTAGGAAGATGAAATGACTTTTTTGGCCTTGTTTTTTCTTTCCACTCGAACTCTCTGTTACAAATTTTCTTTTCATTTCCTTTTCTTCCTTCCCCTCTCTTCCCTTTCTTTTCTTCCCATTTCCTCTTCTCTGCATTTGAACCTTAAATTCAAAAACCAAAACAGAGAGTTCGAGTGAAAAGAAAAAACAAGGCCAAAATACCCCTTTACATCTAATTATTGGCAATTGTGTTCGAGTCACAACGATTTGCTTTTTTCTTAGGATTTCACTGATCAGTTGTCCCTCGTCATTCAGCAGCTAAACGAAACTAATTCATTAAGGGATAATGTTTTTTTGCTGATTTCTTTATAATTCAGCTACTAGGCCTGGATTTTGTTTGCTGGGGTTCTTTAAACCACAAGTTGCCTTTTTCTAATACTTAAAACTTTTTGTCATTTTATTATCTTATGTTTTACATAGCATTGGCATTGTAGATATTAATTATGCTTCTGGGTGTTAACAGGTTTAGATAAATAAGAATTGATTGGGGATGTTGGTAGCAGAAGCTTCCATCTCAGAAGTAGTAGCAGCAATTGTAGCAGTAATGGAGGCTCAACTTCTTCCACTACAGAAAAAGTTTCTGGGACAGCTAACTCACAACCACCACCAATTTCAAGCCCTCCATTCTTATTGCCAGAATTCTTTGCTGGCCAATTTGGCAAAATTGTAAGACGAACACATAAGCTTTGGAAGGTCTTGGTTTGCTGGAAATGACCTCAAGATCCTACCATTATTAGGGTTCAATAGCATATTATTTATTGGGCTCTAACATAAACCTAGATCCCTTTTTTTAATCCTTATACCCTTATTTTGTTTTCTTAGAAACTCCTTACCTTTTTTTTCCCCACATGCAAATGCAAATGCAAATGTACATACATCACTGTATACTTCTCCTTTGCTTGCCCACGCCATTGGTTTTGTAATTGTTGCAAAAATTAACAAGTCGTGAAGGTCATTTAATCAAATGAAATAATGATAGTTTACTCTGATTTTGATACAGTTTTTATTTCTGTCTAAAAAAACCCCAAGAAATCCTAAGAAAAAAGCAAATCATTGTGACACAAACACAATTGCCAATAATTAGATGTAAAGGGGTATTTTGGAATGCAGAAAGTTCAAGTGAAAAGAAAAAACAAGTTCAAAAAAATCATTTCGTCTTCCCAGTTAACTGCCACGTCATTAACTGATGGAAATTTGGACAAAAAAACTTGATTGAAAATTTTGAAAAAGTTAATATGCTAGAACGAAAAAAAATAGAAGTTGATATAATCAATTGAGAAAAGATCTAAAGTTGATGTATTGAAAATGTAAATATCCCCTTTGAAAAGGTAGCAGTTGAGTGTAAAAAGATAGTGGGAGTTGCTCAACAAAAGAGATTTGTTGGTTCAGGCTATGTCAATCCTTTTGATTACAAGTCTGCTATTATCACAAAGGTAGAATTCTTTAAGGATTATAAGGACACAATACAATGTTGATGAAGGAAGTTTATGGTTTGCAATTAATTACTCCAAAAATCGATTGAAGAGAAAATAAGTAGCCAATTGATACTTTTTATGCAAAATTTAACATGGACGAACTGAAGATGATACCTAGAATTGTTATACAACTGAAGCAAAGAAAGAAAAAGGGGTTGGAGAGTCTTGAATGGACATCTATGAGACCGAGGCAAGAATGGTTCAAGTCAAAGGATGAGTTTCTTCCAACCCAAGGAGAATGCAGGAGCTTTCTCTAGGATGTATTTTATTATATTTCTGATGTTTAATTAATCTAGGATCATGAGATTAGCATGCAACTTTTTAAAATATTTCCTTTATAAGCAAAGTACTAAGACTTTAAATCCTTATATAGGGCTTAAACTAATATAAATAGGCTGCTACATTACTATTGTAGTAGGTTTTTGTCGTTTTATCAATATATTCAGATCCTAAAGGCTTTTTATGAACCCTAAACTCTATTACCTTGTTCCAACTTCCATTTTATCTTAATTTTAGCCATTATTCTGCTGTGATTGCTGTTTCTAGTGTTTTCCCCTTCCCACACTACATCACAATAGCAAGGAGATAATTGCATTCAGGGAGAACAGATGCGAGGGAAATTTAGAAAGATGATATTAGGTCCTAGCAACCTAATAAATTCTAATTGAAACATCATTTTTTTGAACTCATCAATACACATAAATGCTCAAATTCTTTGGATAAAAACATATATAACAGCCAGAATCAAACTATAATAGTATCCCACAATTTAGTTAGGCTACAGAAACATAAACATGAAGATGCTTTTGAAAATGTAAGGAGCAAGAAAGACACCCAAACTCAATAGGCATATAAAAAACTACATAAAAAGCAAGTCCAGCACATTACTATTGGAGCTTCACCATACCATAAGTACCAAATGTTGCATGGTGTGTGCACCAATAAGAAGTCAACCGATTAAAGAGATGAAGACAAACCTTTGGAGTGCCAACAGCTATACTGACGTCTATATAATCTCTATATATGATATCATCCCCATCAATAACTGCATTTATAATAGGCTGATTCTGGAGACCGCTGACAGCAGCCTGAGGAATTTTACAGAGGAAACAAGAAAATTGAAACCACACATGTTAATGGTCAAATGTATATTTTGCAAATTATTTGTATAATCATACATAACACATTGTGTACCTTTATAAATCCTGACATGAGGCCCAATTTCACTCCATGTTTTTCAACAAAAGCATCCTTGTAATCAGAGCGAAGCTTCATCAAATTAGTCCTACAATAAGCAGAAAATCAATGATGGGACAACAAACATGACAAAAGGCAGGGAAAACATTTCAAAATAATGTCATTTTGTATGATACAGCTCAGGAACTAATCTACCATTTCAAAGCACCATATACAGCTTTCTTAGGGATAGAAGCATTACAAGGGAAAGAAAACTAAAGAGAAAAAAGTACACGTCTGTTGGCTAAAACCAAAACAATAGGATATGGCCTAAACACTATTACCAAAGGGTTATAACTATTAGATTTATGAGAAAAGAGATACAAGCAATGAGTCATCAAAATCACACTGAACTCACATATCAACTTCATTAAATGTTGTCAGCATAGCAAATGTGTTCTGGGAGTCCTTCAATCGAGTTGCAACCCTTTTCCGAAGCCTTGTCATTGGAACCTGTAATCAAGAAGAGCTTGAGACACTAAGAGAATAAATCTCAAAAAGCATGCTCTAATACATAACGAAAATGCACAAAAGATACTTACTCTTCTTTCCCTTTCCTTAGGAGGAAGCTGGGGTTCTGTAGCAGAGCATTTAGGAGGTGGTGGAGCTGGAGTTTTATGCTTTTCTGGGACAGGACTAGCTTCCACCTTTGGCTTTTCATCAACCTTCATTTCAGGTGCAGATTGCTTAGGAGCAGCCTTCTTTGATATATTCTCAGAGGGAGCAACATGAGCTACAGCCTCACCAGACTTCGAAATAACAGCAATCTTGGTACCCGGTTCTACAGTATCCCCTTCCTTGGCTATATACTGCCAAAAATCATGCACAAACTTAAATTAAATTTACCAACTCAATCATCAGACCTCTTTCCAAAAGAACATAAAAACATCATTGAAAAATATATGTATTACCTCTTTTATCACACCTGCTTCTGGACTAGCAACATCAATTGTCACCTGAACATAAATTGACATTATAAGTATTAGAAACGCACAACCAAATTTCTACTACGTGTCCGAAAGCAGGGGAGGGAAAGCATTTTGAGGACACACCTTATCTGTCTCAATTTGAGCAATTGGTTCATCAACTTCTACACTATCACCAGGATCTGCTCTCAGAATATCATATTCAACACAATCAGGAACTTGCAATTATATAAATGACAAAAGAATGTTTGCAAACAACAGAAATGAGAAATTATCACTGGCCAAACATACTCTTTAAGAATTTTGCCAGAGTACCATCAGTGATGGATTCACCCATAAAAGGAACAACAGCATCAACCAAATCCCCTACATCAGAGCACAAAATTATCATACATCAAAATATAGCAAAACTTTCAGATAGTATAACTGCGATAAGAAATAGTTAAAGGTCTGCTTCAAGGATGTAAAACTAATTTGATGGTAAACCATCCAAGCCATCACATCCAAGATCTCACAAGGGTCAATGTAACTAAGTATTCAGCCATTGCAGTGAGATTCAAAACTTAGCAACGAGCCAATTAATGTGGATGCATACGACATTAAGCCTACCCCTTCTATACCACAAATTAATGTTGATGCATACCACGTTTCTGGCAACCGTGAGAGAGTAGTCTGATTTTAAACTTTCCATTAATCATGTTTTCCCATGATAAAACTATAGAAAAAAGAGCTTCAGACTGCATTTATTGTTAGGAGCTACTTCAAAGCTATTTGGGAAAGACTCGGTGAAAAGCAAGAATGCTAATATCCTTGATAAGTAGTTGAAAGAACCATAAGGATTAAATAATCCAGTGAGGACTAGTATTAATTCAATGTCTCCTTCACCAATACATTACACAACAGTCCACACAAGGAAAAATTACAGAGCGAGTGTAATACACAAACGAAGGGAATTCATAGAGCCCAGTCAATAACACACCACTGTCTGAAGAAAATGGCCTACTCCAAATTTGCTTGCTAGCTGTGAGCTCCGTGTTGGAATCAACTTCTCTGCATAACAAAATAAAAATAAAAATAAGAATGGAGGGAGAGAGAGCACCATGATACAGCAACGTAATAAACAATAAACAACTCTAATTAGCATTAAAATTCTTCAGCATTTTTCACCAACCTAATCTACATCTTTACTGGATAATTTCAAAGGACTGGCATTCTACAATCTACATATTCACTGGTATATAAAAGAGAGAAAATGTAGTTCTATATTGACATAAAGCAGGTTGAATCAGTTAACCCACCCCATCAAGCCGTTATCATTTTAAGTGCACAAGTTTCGCAAAGGATGTATGTAATTCAAACTTGAGATCTAAAAAGTTAAAGTAAGATCGGTAAAAGGTTTAGAAAAGGACATAACTTAGACAATAAGACTGAGTACATTTCGATTTGTTCACTTGAATAATCCACAATCAAATGATAACCTTAAGTACAGTTTCATAAGTGTCGTCTATTGCTTTTATGATCCTATAAACACTAATTCTAATATTGTCTCTTAAAATCACAGAAATAGAATGGTGTCACTAACCTCACAGGCCTTGAACTAATTGCCATGCCTGTAAACAACAAACAACCCAATTATTATTATTATTATTATTATTATTATTATGTTTTTAAAAAACAACAAAATGTCACAATTAGTATCATATATTACCTCGCACGGGAACGAGGCATGTAAATCTCCGAACAGTTTCAAATCCTCTGGGATTAATTAAAATCTGTAGACAGGCAAGATGGGATTACGGATTACTGAAATTAAATTATATTAAAAAAAAAAAAACCTTTTTCTACAATAAAAAACAAATGAAAGCCATCAATACCTCCTCAGAGACTCTAGATGAAAACAAGGGAGCAGGTCGAATAGTTTGCAATGACTGCCTCAAAAACTGATGATCACCCATACCAAATAACGTCAAATAATATAAATAAGTAAATAAATAAATAGATAGATAAATATAGTAGAAAAATGAATTTTCTAACCGAAGAAGAAGAAGACGAGCCTCCACTAGCGACTCTTCTTCTTATAATCCCAAACATCTTCTTGGATTCTATCGATCTCTATCTGCTTTTTTTCAAAAAAAGAAAAAAAAACTGTTAACAAAAAAAAAAAAAAAAAAAAGAGGCAATCTTCTTCAAAACTAATTTTATTAATTTATGAAATAACCTAATCAGAAGAACGTGAGCGAGTGAGCCAGCCAGCAAGAGCGAAAGTCTTTGAATCGAGAGAGACACAGGTGTGTTGTTGTAGGGTTTGGCTTCGGAGAAAAGGAAAACAACGCTGCAAAGTTGATTTAAAGCACGATCTTGCAATTTCGGTTTGCTTGCGTGTCGTCTTATTATTGGTGACACAAGTCAAAATCGTCTAAATTGGAGAGCTTTGTTATTAGGGAGTGTATTTTTCAAAAAGAGAGAGTGGGGTGGCAACGAAAATGGGAAGTGTAAATAAGGGGAGCATTAATGATTCACAACGTCGTCGTATTCCCGCTTCTCCTTTGTCTCTTTCTTTCTGTCTCTTTCTTTTCTCCTCAGCTTGTTTATTTTTTAATTTTTCAATATTTGTTTCACGTTAGAAAAAAATCAATAAAATAATTTTTAATCAATAAAAAATAATAAAATATTTTTTAAAAAATATTTTTTCAATTAAAAAAATAAAAAATATTTTTTTTGTCATGAGTTATCTCGTTCTCGTGTTACTTACCTCTCACTCGATATATTTTAACAATTTTTTCTCTATCTTTCTTTATTTCAAATATATCAAATTAATTTTTAATTATTCTTTATCAATAATTATGAATTATTTAATTATTTTTTCTCTATTTCTAATAATATTTGATTTTTTGATTTATAGATACTTTAAATATTCTTAAAAATTATTTTTAGATCTTAAAATTATTTTTATAATAATTTATTTCTATTTTTTTACTATTATCTCAAGCACCACCTAAACTATACTTAAATTATTGAAAATAATTATTACAAGATTGCAATCTTTTGTAAAAAATTTGAAATTAATTAATTCATTAATAAATATATTATTTTTTCAACACTATTTATTTGTAACTAAATCAATAATTTATAATTTTAATATGTTGTAAAATTTTGTTGGTAATTATAGTGAATAATTAGTTACAAATTATTTTAACATTAATCTTTTGAAACCAAATGAATAATTATCTACAAATGATAACTAATAATTTATAAAACTATTTTTTAAACTAAATTATCAACTTAATTTTCAAAAAAAAAAAAATCTTAATTGATGTAACAAAATAACAATGTTAGGATTACTTGAAAAAAAAAATTTTTTTTACTAAATGTGAATATTGACTTAATTTTTGTCTCAAGTAATTTTGATGAATTGGTTTGATAGTTAAAAAAATATATTTTATTTTTTGAATTAAAATTCTAGAGTCGGTATTTATGATATTTTTTTCTAAATATATCTTATATTATGAAATTATGAATATGTTTTTTTGAAATTTCCTCAAAGCTTGTTGATCTATTGCTTTTATATTTTAATTTTATATATCAAACAAATATCTGGAATATATTTTTCAGCAATTTTTTCATGTAATTTCCAAATGGCGAGAAAATATTTTCTTGGAAAATAATTTTCTAAAAAATAGCTTTTTCAGGAATTGATTTTTCGATGGATGTTGTTTTCCGCCAAACAAACGAAGCCTAAATTAAGGTTATGTTATTTAAGTCGAGTTTTTAACTTTTGATTGGAGCAAAAATCATAAGTATATTTGATTTGAAATAAATTTTAATATAATAAAAAATTCGTTACAAACTTAAATGAAATGTTTTTTATGGGTTTTAATTTGTATGCATTTATTTTTCAAAAAAGCAAAAAGTGTTTTGAGTCATTTTCTACCAAACATACTTTTAATTCAACTAATTTTAATTTATTTTTTAATTTATTTATGATAAATAATTTTTAAGGTGAGAATTAAAGCCAAAAATCATGTCAAACTAGCTCGATTGAACCAAAGTCTCTACTTAAATCTTCAATAATTCTACATGGCCATATGTTAAGCTATGTTGTATTGTGTTATGTTGTAATGTAAAGTAAAACAATTATATTGTTTTGTGATAATATATAGTGTTATGCTCTAATTAGATTTATTAATTTTTATTTGAATGAAATAACAAAAAAGCATAAAAACTTATTATAAAATCTTTAATGACTAAATTAATGTTCTTAGGAAAGCAAATTAACACCGTTATTCAAAATTTCAAATGTCATATTAATTTAGCAATAACATGTAAATCTATCATTTTATATTGGGTTATTTTTCTCATATACCATTTGAAAAAAAAAATTTACCCTCGTACATCCTTATACATTCATATTTCATCTAATATATTCTTTTACTTTATTTTAGATAAAAATATCCTTGACCACTAAAAGAAACTTAATTTTCAAAAACTTTAAAAAACTTGAAAAAGAAGTAAAAAATAGGAAAAAATGAAAAACCTAGAAATGTAAAAACTTGAAACATCTCATAAAAGCTGAAATAACCGATAGAAATCGTCACACTTAGTTTTTCGAAAGGTAAAACCTGAAAAAAAAAAAAAAAAAAAAAAACACTAATACTAGTCTTAAGAGTTCAAAGTCAAGGGGTTGACTACACAACTAGGGAAGATTATTACTCTAGTATGCCCTCATAATGAGGTTATCCGATATTTCTAGCATATGAAAACTTAAATATGCAATCAACTTTCTATCCCGATTTGCGAGTTTAATTATTTGGACCTTTTCTAAACGAGTTTAAAGAAAGATGATTTGAAAATTGAAAAAAGACTCAATCTCTTACCTAATATGTCATTTGGCCATTAGAGTCCACTAAGGCTCGTTTGTTTGGTGAAAAACAACTTCCAAAAAGAAAAAGTAATTCTTAAGAAGCTATTTTCTAGGAAGTTATTTTCTAAAAAAATATTTTATAACATTTGGCAATTACATGAAAAAATTATTAAAAAATATATTTTAGCATTTGTTTGATACAAAAAACTAAAATACAAAAATAGATTGTGATTGTTACATCAACAAGTTTTAAGAGAACTTCAATAAAGCATATTCACAATCTCACAATATAATATGCATTTAAAAAAATTTTAATAAATTTTTATAAATACTAACTCTAAGATGTAAATTTAAAAAATAAAAAATAAATAAATCTACATTTTTAACTATCAAATTAATTCATTAAAACTACTTAGAACAAAATTAAGTCAATATTCACATTTAACCAAAAAAAAAAAATTCTAAGTAATCCTAGCATTGTTATTTTGGTAACTTAATTAAAAAATCTTTTTTTACTATTTTTTTTTTAAATTGAACTGATAATTTAGTCTAAAAAATAGTTTTACAAATTATTGGTTATCATTTGTAGATAATTATTCTTTTGTTTTCAAAAGATTAATATTGAAATAATTTATAACTAATTATTGACTACAATTACTAACAAAATTTAACAACTCGATTGAAATTAGTCACAAATTATTGATTTAGTTTGCAAATTAATAGTGTTAAGAAAATAATGTATTTATTAATGAATTAATTAGTTTCAAGTTTTTCATAAATGATTGCAGTTTTGTAATAATTATTTCTAATTATTTAAGTATAGTTTAGGCAAGTGTTTGGGATAATGGTTACAAAATAGAGATAAATTATTGAAATACTTATTATAAAAATAATTTTAAGATGCAAAAATATTTTTTAGAATATTTAATGTATTTATAAATTAAAAAATAAAATGTTAGTAGAAATTAAAAAAAATAATAATAATTGATAAGAAATAATTCAAAATTAATTTGATATATCTTAAACAAAAAGGACATAGAGAAAAAAAATGTTAAAATATATCAAAAGATAGGTGAGTAATGCGAGAGTGAGACCTCTTATGAGAGAGAGAAAATGTTTTCCTCTTTTTTAACTTCAAAAATACCTTCCCAAAAATAGCTTATCAAATTCAATTGAAGAAAAAAATCAAATTTCATTGATTTTCTTCCTAAATGTAAAATAAACATCAAAAAATGGGAAAAATAGGGAGAAAAAAAGTTCCTAAAACATATTTTTCTCTAAACAAATACAACCTCGTAAAGGTAAAGATCGAGCCTTAAAGCCCATTGCTAATTAAATATCTTAAGTCTTATATGAAGATAGATAAAAATTAACATAAAATAAACATAGACCATAAGCCCAAATTCACTTGTCAAATCATGAAATAAACATTACGGATCTAAAATTAAAAAAAAAAAAAAAAATCCAAGAACAAGGATGTTGGCCTCAAACCCATATCCATTTGGTCATGCCACTTTTAAAATGCTAAAATAGACTTAGGGTCCAAGGCATATTTTAGAGCCAAGTCTCGCAAAATAATAAAATTAATGGCACTAAGAAATAAAATAAAATTAATATTAAACCAAATATACAACAACAACAATAATAAAGAAAAAGACTCATCATTGGAACAAAATCAATCTCAAGTCCTAAATCTAATCTATCTAAACTAACTTAGACTAACATCACAAAAATAAACACACTAAGTGCAACACATAAAAAAATAAAAATATAAAAGTTAAGAATTATATAAGATGACATTATGAAAAATAAAATAGCCAATAAGCCTTCACAAGGTCATTGGCTTATTAATTCATATTGACTTATTTTAGTTTTTTTCTAAAAAAAAAAATTGATAACCTATTGCCATCTTCATCATCGATCGACGAGTTCTTTAGGAACTTTTATATAAAAATAAAAATATTATATAGTATGTTAAACTCTTAACTCCTCTTTATAAAATAATAAGTAATAAAATTAAAAATAATAAGGTATCAAAATTATTAGAAAAAAAAATCACAAAACCATAACCCAACCAAATTAAATTTTAGAGCACACAAATATTACAAAAACTTGAATTTAAACCCTTCGAATCTTTAAAAATTACAAAGTATAACTTGTTCTAATTTTTTATAATCCTTTCAATCGAGACATTTTAATATAATAATCATCCAAATCGAATCTTAATCAC